AAGAACCAAGATGCATTATGTAAAGGTACAATTCCCAATGAGAAATGTAATTGTGTTGTATACCTACAATGTACCAATAAAAGAATAAAATTTAAAAAAAAACTTGTATATGTCCAATACATTTAGATCTATTTCCATTTCTCAATTCTGTTCTTTCCTATGGGCTTTCTGCACACTTATTTACAAAATTAAAGTTTCAGCTGTGTGTTGTGGCACACCCCTGTAACCCCAGGACTTGGGAGTCTGAAGCAGGAGGATCGCAGTGAGGTTGAGGCCTGCCTGAACTACATAGTGAGACCGTGTCTCAAAAAAAAAAGTTAGGGCTGGGGATTTAGCCCAGTGGTTCCACCACCTGCCTTACAAGCACAAGGATCTGAGTTCGAACCCTGGTACCAAAAAAAAATAGTTAAATAATTTTAGTTATTATAGATTTATATTTTGGCACCTGATAGGATAGTCCCTCATTACACGTTTTTCATGGAATGTTTATTCTTACATGTTTCTTCCCCCATATGAACTTTATAATTACCTTGCATAGACCTTTTAAAAAGATGCTGCTGGTATTTTCATTGCACTTTCATTAAAAGAATATTTAACATGTGAAATAGTTAAGCCTTAACAATTAGTTGCAGAGGTCAAAAATATAGGTTTTGGGGAGAAGAAAGTCTCACTGTGTTGCCCTGGCTAGCTTCAAACTCATGATCCTCCTGCCTCAGCCTCCTCTGTAGCTAGGATAGTACACATGTGCCACCACACCTGGCCAGAAACATAGTCTCTTAGTTACTTCTCTCTTGTTGTTAAGACAAAATACCCAACACCTACAAGTTAAGGAAGGAAAGGTTTATTTAGCTCACAGTTTATAGAAGTTTCAGTCCATAATCAGCTGGCTCCAAGGCAAGGTGGCACAGCAGATAAGGCATTGCAGAGAAGAAACAGTTCATGGCAGGCAGAAGGTAGCAAAGCAACAAGACAAGCCTCTTTCTGCCCCTTGTATTGTATACAGGCTACCAGGATTAGGATGATGTCAAACCAATCATTCAGTATTCACCCACCCTTAATCCCAGCACCCTTAATCCTAGCATCACACCGTGAATCAATCACACACTCTAGATTCAGCCACCTCTGAAAAAGCCCCACCTATGATGGCATGAGGCTTTGGGGGGACATCTAGACACAAGCCATAACAGTTAGTAACTAAAGTTTCGTGAATTAAAGGATAGGATTTCTTAAGATTAAAAATAATAATAATAATAAAATTTTTTAAAACCCAGAATGACAAGGCATAGCTGTTTGGAGCGAACTCCAGCATCTAGAATCTGAGTGGGATAGTGTAAACTGTCAATGGAAACCAAGAAGGTATGGCCAGAGATGTGACAGAAAACGCCGGGTGCCAGAGAGACATCACAGAAGCCATGGGAAAAGAATCCTGTGAAAAGAGTAAGGAAGATGGGCACTAAGCAGCATTTACAGTGACACAGAAGTCACTGATGATATTAGAAGAACAGGTTTAGGGGACTGGGGGACAGCACTAAACTAGAATGTTAAAGAAAGGATGAGGGCCGGGGATTTACCTCAGTGGTTCATCCACCTGCCCCACAAGCCCAAGGACCCGAGTTCAATCCCTGGTACCAAAAAAAAAAAGAAAGGATGAGAAGAGAGAATTAGTGCAAGAGCTAAAAGAGTTTGCAAACTTTGTCCATGAAGATACGAAAGACCTGAACAAAATTAAGTTCTGATGGGAGGATCCAGTACCAAAGGAGAAACAGATTAGTAAATAACAGAGAAAAGGGACAGCACAGGGCTGGTGAGGAGGTGAGGAGAGCTGCGTTCAGCGACACGCATGTATGTAGGGAAAGAGCAAAGGATAGCCTCAGCCAGAGAAATTGGTCTCACACCTCTTTTCATAACACCAGGAAAGAAGAGAAAACTATGGCACTACCTAGATATAGACAGACAGATTTAACAGGCAAAGTTCAGGGAATTTTGCCTTATCCAGGAGGTAAGCGATTTGGTCATCTTAATTTCTGAAAACCACCTCTGTGGTTGAACACTTACATTACTTTCAGTCTGTCACTAGGAACAAAACAGTTGGGTCAAAAATATAAGCACTTTTGAAATTTCTGAACGGCTACGGCCCAAGTGCCTTGAGGAGAAAGTGTTTCCCAACTAGTTGTTCTTCAATTGTTCTCACACACTGAATGACTATCATTACTTTTTCCCCCAACCTTTCTGTCTTGGTATTTATTGCTCATTTTTGTTACTATTTTAAGAGGAAAAAGGTGATTTTTAAAAAAAATATCAGAGTATAGGTAATTACCCATATGTAAATTCAAGAAGGCTTCTTTTAAAAATCATTTAAAGTATCATTCCATTAAAGTCTTGCATATCCCAAATGAAGTTAGAGGACAAATTTATCCATTACCATTATAAAAAATAAGTAATAAAATGGCAAATAGATGAAGAAACAAACATGTGACATCAGAAACAACTTCACAGATTATAGAAAAACTCCCATGAGAAACCTTTTGAATAGGAGTCAATAATAGTCATCTGTATGAGCAAAGGACAGGATCTTCTGAGCACTTGAAAACCATTTGCAATTCAGATCAACAAGTAAAATCACCCACCAATGAAGCGCATAAGCACCTTCTGCCCCTGAACCCCACAAACTATAAATTTTGTGCCAAAACCTTCTCTGTACTAAGAACAGTGGATGATGATACCATCACTCCACTGAACACCAATCAGAATGCAGACAGCAACCTAGATCTAGGTCAGGAATTATTTTTGTTGCAGATAAGGAGCTTTAGTACTCTCAAAGGACACCAATAACAGGCCCTTCTTTCTTACCTTCACCATGAACGTGAAGTCTGTTAGGGCTGGAGAGTAGACGGCCCCACCAGCACACGGGCCCATGATCAGAGAGATCTGAGGGATGACTCCGGATGCTGTGACATTTCTCTGCAGAGACAGAAAAGCAGAAGCATCTGGTTACAGACCTGCTCAAGGCATTATCTACCAGAAGATAAAGGCAACATAACACTTGGCTTTCCTTCCATAGAAACTCCATCTAGGAGGCAAGAGACCCACTCAGTAAAGTCCTTCTGGAATTACGCACGCGAAGTTTCCCCCTAACTGTTGGGATGGTGAGTATATTGCTTTCTGGGGCAAAGAACTCTTCTCTCTCCTTGGCAGGAGTTCCCCTAAAACTCTACCAGAATATGAGCTACAGAGTCCCACCACCCCTGCCCGGCTGTAAAGACACCTCAGGCCCGGCACTCTTGTCTGTACAAAGTCACCTAGAAGGAGAATGAAAACCTCAGTGTACAGAGCAACACTGATCCTGGAGCCCTAACCACTATTTTGAGCTCCTTCACACCCTCCACAGAAGACACCCACAGTCACAAGGCTGCAAGACAGGTGTTATTCTACACTTAGTCTTCAAAGTCAATATATTCCTAGGAAATCAAGGAGAGTAAGGTAGGAGGAGCCCAAAAAGCCCTGTAAGGACAAGGGTGCTATTACAAGACAAGCCTCAGGCTACCTCCTGGGAAAGACAGAACTTGGGGACTTGAATACCTAGGCAAGGTCACAGGATCCAATCATACAAGGAAAAGTAGGTCCACTTTTCAGGCTCCCTTGGTTCTGAGCCCCAATCTCTATAAACTGTGAAAGACAGTGAAAAAAAGGCATCTATATTCTCTGCAACATATCAAAGGGAAAGGGGACTTCCAGCTACAGCAGAGTGAAGAGTTTGTAATCTTCTCTTCAAAAAACGATAAAACTGAACAAACTTGTCAAAAACAAGTATCCAGGGCTCTGGAAATGGTTCAAATGTGAACACATTTGTGTTTATTCATTAAAAAAACAAAAACAAAACTGTAGCTGGGTGTGGTAGCACACACCTGTAATCCCAATGCTTGGGAGGCCAAGGCAGGAGAAGTGCCACAAGTTCTAGGCCAGGCTGGGTTATACAGTGAGTTCAAAGACAGCCTGAAATACACAGGGAGACTCTGTCTCAAAAAAAAAAAAAGTGCTAAACCAGATAAGAACAGTGACGGTCTGTGGCATTCTTCAGGAAGGCTGCTGCTACCAGCATGCACGCCAGGTCTGGACATCCATTCAGGTAAAAGGAAATGGCACCAGACAGGAATTCAAATCCACAATAAGCAATTAAGAGCAATGGAAATAGTAAATTTTTTGGTTAAATATAAAATATTAGCTGGGGATTTAGCTCAGTGGCACCACGCCTGCCTCGCAAGCACGAGGTGCTGAGTTCAATCCCCAGTACCAATAAATAAATAAATAAAAATAAAATATTACATACATTTCTCTTAATACATTAAAAGACAAAAATATATAAAACAGTTATATCACTGTATTTTGGGATTTAATAACAATAAGAACACAAGTGAAGGGAGATAAAATATAGGTATATTAGAGCAAAGTTCCTGTCTTTTACCAGAATTATGTCAGTATTAATCTGAAGTAGATTATAAATAAGATACACATTGAAACCTTTAGAGCAATCACCAAAAAAACTCAAAAAATATAATCTAAAAAAATTAAAGCAGTGTATTAAAAATATTCATTTAACATAAGAGTTGTGGGTTTTGTTTTTGAGACTATTGGAATTATTTGTCAAAGCTGTTATAGCAACTGCCTTAAATATGTTCAACAAGCTAAAGGAAAATATGGAAAAAGCACCCAAGGAAATCAAGATAACAATGTTTGGACAAAACGAAGGCACAATGAAAAGAAACCAGGCAGAAATTCTGGAATATAACTAAAACAAAAACTTCACTAGAAGGATTCAATAGTAGATTTGAGTAGGCAGAAAAAAGGATCAAGAAACTTGAATATGAAACTACTGACATTATCTAGTCTGGGGAACAGAAGAAAGAAGAAAAATGAACAAAGGCTGAGGATCTGTGGAAAAACATCAAACATACCAACATACAAATTATAAGAATACTAGAAGACAGAAAGAAATGCTCAGATAAAATATTTGAAGAAATAATAGCCAAAATCTGATGAAAGCCATGAGTATATACATCCAAGAAGTTCAATGAAATTCCAAGTGAGATGCAAACTCACATCCATAGTGAGACACACAGTCAAACTGTCAAAACTCAAATACAAGAAGAAACTTTGAAAGCAGAAAGACAAAAGCAACTTGCCATGTACTAGGATCTCAATAAGACTAATGAAGAAGGCCAGAAGGCAGCTGGATGTATTCAAAGTATTAAAAGAAAAAACTGTCAAAGAATTCTAAATCCGATCCAGGCATTGTGGCACATGTCTTGGGAAGCTGAGGCAGAATTGCCACACGTTAGAGGCCACCCTGAGCTACACAGTGAGTTCAAAACCAGCCTGAACTCCATAGCAAGACCCTCTGTCTCACAAAGCACACCCCGCAAAAGAATTCTATATCCAGCAAAGCAAACCTTTAAAAATAAAGAAAAAAAGAAAGACATTTCTAGATAAATAAAAGCCAAGGAAGTTCATTTGCAAAATACCAATAGCATTTCTCACAGAACTAGAGAAAACAGTACTAAAATTCTTATGGAACCAGAGACTCAGAATAGCAAAGGCAATCCTGAGCAACAAAAGCAAAGTAGAAGGCATCACAATCTCAGACTTCCAAGTTGTATTACAAAGGTACAGTGATACAAGCAGCATGGTATTGGCAAAACAAAACAAAACAAAAAAAACCCCGACTTGTGGGTCAATGGAACAGAAGAGAGAATGCAGAAAAAACTCAGGACACACTCAGCTACCTGATCTTTAACAAAAAGACCAACAACATACACCGGAAGAAAGATAGCCTGTTTAACAAACAGCACTGGAAAACTGGCTATCCACAAGCAGACTAAATCTAGACTCGTATCTCTCACTATGAACAAAACTAAAATAAAAAGACCAAAGATCTAAATGTTAAAACAGAAACAATCTACTAGAGGATAAAATAGGTAAAACTCTTGAAGACAGAGGTATAGACAAAGACTTTCTAAACAGAACCTCAATTGCACAAGAAATAGTATCAAGAATCAACAAATGGGATTTAATCAAATGAAAAAGTTTCGGCACAGCAAAGAAAACAACTGAAAGAGTGAAGGGACAACCCACAGAATGAGAAAAAAAATTTTTTGTGAGCTACTCCTCGGATAGATGCCCACTATATAGAATATATAAAGAACTCAAAAATATCAGACCACCCGAAATAAAAGATCCAATTAAAAAAATGGGCAACTGAAATGAATAGGCACTACTTAGAAGTACAAATAGTCCTCCTGTTCAATATAGCTCTGGAAACATTAGCCACAGCAATTAGAAAAGAGAAAGAAATACAAGGAATAAAGATAGGAAAGGAAGAAGTGAAACTGTCATTATTTGCTGATGATATGATACTTTACATAGAAGACCCAAAAAACTACCAAAAGATTTCTAGACTTAATTGACAGATTCAGTAGAGTAGCTAGATACAAGGTCAACACTTGAAAAATAATAGCCTTCTTATACACAAATAGCAGACTCACTGAGAGAGAAATTAGAGAAACAATTCCTTTTACAATAGCATCCAAAAAAATGAAATGTCTAGGAATCAATATAACAAAGGAGGCAAAAGACCTCTACACTGAAAACTACACCACCCTGAAAAAGGAGATCAAGGAGGATATAAGAAAATGGAAAGACATCCCTTGTTCCTGGGTAGGAAGAATCAATATAGTGAAAATGGCCATACTTCCAAAATTGCTATATAGATTTAATGCAATGCCAACTGAAATTCCAACAATATACTTCACAGAACTAGAGAAAACAATCCAAAAATTCATTTGGAACCAGAAGAGATCTAGAATAGCAAAAGCAAATCTGGGCAACAGAGACATGGCTGGGGGTATCACAATACCCAACTTGAAGCTATACTACAAAGCTACTGTGATAAAATCAGCATGGTACTGGCAAAGAAACAGACCCCAGGATCAGTGGAATAGATTAGAAGATGCAGAAACAACTTCAGACATACTCAGCCACCTCATCTTTGACAAAGGAGCCAACCACCCTCATTGGAGGAAAGATAGCCCATTTAATAAATGGTCTTGGAAAAACTGGATTTCAACCTGTGAAAGATTAAAAAACTAGAGCCATAGCTATCATCATGCACTAAACTAATATTAAAGTGGATTAAAGATCTAAATTTTAAGACAGAAACACTAAACTTGCTGGAAGATAAGTTAGGTAGAACTCTTCAAGACACCGGCATAGGAAAAGACTTTATGAATAAAACCTCAATAGCAAGGGAACTAGCACAAAGAATCAACAACTGGGATTTCATCTTATTAAAAAGCTTCTGCACTGCAAGAGAAACCACCAACAGAGCTAACAGACAACCTACAATGTGGGAAAAAACTTTTAGCAGCTGTAACTCAGACAAAGGGCTACTATCTCAAATCTATAAAGAACCGAAAAAAATCAGAACCCCCAAATTCAAAGACCCAATCCAAAAATGGGCATCTGAAATGAACAGTCATTTCTCAGACAAAGAAGTAAAAGCAGCAAATAAATACATGAAAGAATGTTCAACATCACTGGTCATTTGAGAGATGTAGATGAAAACAACACTGAGATTCCACCTCACCCCAGAAAGAGTGGCCGCTATCAAGAAATGAATCAATTAACTAATGCTGGCAGGGGTGTCCTTCTCCATTGCTGGTAGGAGTGCAGACTGGTGCAACCACTATGGAAATCAGTATGGAGATACTGCAAGGAACTAGGGCTAGAGGACCCATTTGACCCAGCTATTCCCCTGCTGGATATCTTCCCAAAAGAAAAGAATCATACCACAACGATATATGTGCACCCATGTTTATACCGGCACAGTATGTAATAGCTAAAGCTTGGAAACAACCCAAGTGCCCATCAACTGGAAAGTGGATAAAGAAGATGTGGGTTTTTTATAA